AACGAACGTCTCACGTGCTCGACTCAACTGTCAATTACCCATTACATTACCTGCTTGCCGTCACTTCTTGGTGGCTTATATATACAAGACTACCGCATATTTAGTAGCCTGTCGAGACTTCACGAACCTTCGAGAATATGACGTGTTACTAGCGTAACGTGACCACCGCTGTCGTAACAATACTAAACTTTCGGTTAGATCCCTGCAGTGGACACAGCATTGTGTAGGTTTGCGCTTAAGGGTAAGCAAAATGTTAGTATGTGAGTTAGGTCTTTGAGGGATAATACAGGAATGCTAATATCTGACGATTATGGAATGACTGGGTTATTAAATGCTAGGCTTCTTCAGTTTTTACTAATGAAGATTTAAGCAATATTCTTCATTCTGAATAGTTGCTAGGTTGAAACACGATTGAAAAAATGACCACTTTAATTACAAACTTCTTAAGAAAACATTGGAAAGTTTAAATAATGATAAAGCTCCAGAGCCAGATAACGTTTTCCTAAAGGCTTTGAAAGATGTTATGGATTGATTTGTGATCCACTTGCTGATATTTTTGCTAAGTCCTTGAAAAGTGGGCAGCTAATAATAAGGTTTGGTTTGTTTTGAATTTCGCGCAAGGCTACACGAGGGCTGTCTACGCCAGCTGTCCCTACTTTAGCAGTGGAAGGCAGCTAGTCATCACCTCCCACCGCCAAATCTTAGGCTACTCTTTTACCAACGAATAGTGCAATTGATCATCACTTTATAACGCCCACACAGCTGAAAGGGCGAGCATGTTTCAAGTTCCTTAACGTCTTCTAAAGGAAACTATCGTTTAACGAGTTTTTTTAATAGTTTGATATATTTTTAGAGGTATGTACTGTTACGACAGCGGAGGTCACGTGACCCTATTAACACGTCATGCACTTCTAGAACGTTCATGTCCCTTCCTGAAGTGTCGAGAGGTTACTAGATATGCGGTATTCTTGTATATATAAGACCGGTAAGAAGTGACGGCAACAATGGAATGTAATTGAACTGCAGACAGAGATAGAGACGTACTGTTGGGTCAAGCGCGTGTGTTGTTCGTTGTGAATTATAGCGTTTATTTAACTTATAGTGTGACCGTTGAAATTGAGTGAATTTCAAAGTTGTATTGAGAAAGAATAAACTAGCTTTATTTAAAAAAGGACTTGTGTCACTAAAGTTTCACCGGAAAGAAATTATACAGGAAGTTAACTAACGACCAGAGACGTAACAGTACCACTTTAAGTGATTTCAATATGTAGATATCGTTTGACAAGTTTTCTAAATGATTTGCTGTTTTATTACGCAGATTCCGAGTCTATCGCTCTAACCACCTGGCCAGGCCAGGCCAATAAAAAGGGAAACAAAGTATTTACAGATTAATTTACTCCAATCTTGCCCAAAAGAATTTCTAGTGCCGCGGCTATTGAGGATTCCCTCTTGTTTATGTTACAGTCTTATCACTTTCTTGCCAATAAACAGGGCCAAATTAACCATGGTACCAAGAAATTCACAGTTATTATGCTCTTTTTTTCAATAACCTTTTTAAATTGAAAACTGTAGTATAAAAGCGTTATATCTGGTAAAAAGTTAATTTGATGGTTAAAACAATGAAGCTTTGTACAGAAAGGGGCCATCAAAAATTTAAGTTACCCGTGGTTTTATCCTTGTCTTGCCAGCAATTCTAAGGACTTTTGAGTAAAAGCAAATAACAATATACAATAATATGTCAACCACGCTTTTTCTGCAATATTTAATGCCAACGATACCTATAATATAATACCAGGGCTCATCAGGCCGAGTGGGATATCACAGTAACCTGTTGTTAAAGAAATTTATTTAGCATTCCTTCTCATGGTAAGAGGTTCTTCTAGTATGGAATATCAATAGAAATTGCTTATAAGCATAAGAGATAAGTGAAATACCTAAAGAAACTATACCTTTTTTGTGTGCTATCGACAGGTGTTTCAGATATCAATAAAAAGAGGTTTCTCAATAGAATGTCTAGAGTATGAAGTTTAAAATGTTTGTTATTAGTTTTGCAAGGTTAATTTTAACTTTAACAATGTATAATGTCAGCAAACAAACTATGGTATCTACGTGACCTATTTTCCTTTAATATACAGGTAATTTAACTTCCTGTCTGTTACCTTGATACTGTTACGACAGCGGAAGTCACGTAACGCTGGTAACACGTCATGAGATTCTCGAATGATCTTGACT